CGCACACACGTATTTCCTCCTACCGACATTCAATCCGCTCCTCCGTTAGATCCCGCTCCTCCATTAGGTCATGCGCCAGGGGTGCGTCCTGCCTATGCGTAGGCGCAATTGTCGGCGGCGCTTCCGCCGAGGGCGCAGCGCCGAAGGCGGCTCGCCTGATGTCCCTTGGCCCGAAGGCCCTTCCGCCGAAGGCGCACCTTCCGGCGGACTTTCCGCCAAGGGTGCGTTCCCCGCCGGCTCCCTACTTGTAACTCGGTGGCCCGAAGGCCCTGGCGCCGAAGGCGCATTTCCCGGCGGTCTCACCGCCGAAGGACCTTGCCCCGAAGGCCCTTGAGCCGAAGGTGGATCTTCCGCCGGCTCCTTCTCTTTCCTACGCTGCACCGGAGGTGAGTCTCGCCTATGCGCAGGCGTGCTCCCGTCCGCAGGGAGTCGCCTATCCGTAGGCGGCACACTCATCCGTGCCGCGTTTTGTCGCTCCTGACCCGAAGATCTTACTTCCGCCGAGGGGTTCGTGCCTTCGGCGTAGGGAGATCCGTTGACCCCTCTGCTGTTCGTGCATTCCCGTCCTCCTCCGAGGGTGGGGTCTCCTTCTCTCCGGCGGCCCGCGCCGTTTCCGCGCTACTTGCAGGTAGTACAAGCCGGCGCGCTTTCTGCTTCGGCCGACTGCAGAGCTCGTGCAGTGGCCGCTTCCGTGTGAGAGCAGCCGAATCTTGATGTTGCTCTCTCTCCGGTTCCTCTCTCCATCTCCGCTTCCGCGGCACTCGCGCTGCGGATGTGTCTCTCCCCGCATCCTGTTGAGCCGGTGGAGTGGAAGTCGGAGTGTCCTCCGCGTTAGAGTCGACCTCGTTATCCCGCACATATCTCCCGGGATTGTCGAGTGACAACAACGGAAACTGAATACGCTCGGTCGTGGTTAAGCAACCCATCGACCGATAAAAGTTTATCAAGAAGGGGGAGAGATGATTGATCGTTCCTCCCCTCTCCTCAAATGCATGCTGCCGCGTTACTCTATGCAAGATACGCGACCAGTGAACTAGAGCTCCGGCCAATGTGAGCTCCACGAAAGACACTTGCCAAGAAGTGATGTACGTTGTTTTGTGCGGCTGCAAGAGTTGCAGAAGTGCCATCGCTACGTTTCTGCGGAAACGATCTCTGTAGTCACGGATCCTGTACCCGTTCTTGGTGGACTTCTCTCTCTTGAACAATTCCACGAAGGAGGCTTCTTCTGCCTTCGACACCTTGACGCTCTCACTGTCAAATAGGAGGAACCCGTCCTCGCCTGCACATCTCCCTAGCACTTGTCCCCAATCGTGGACAGTCCAACGATCTACGTGCGGACGGAATCCGCGCGTAGGTTGGTGTCTCTCCCTTTGCCATTCGCGCACCATGTCCGGGCACACGTAATTCCATCCCCACAGCAAGAAATCAAGTTTCACTGCAATCAGCCGGTTTTGAAAAGCACGCAACCCAATCTGCGGAAGCTTGAGTGGAACCATCCGCAGCTGAGTGGACTTCGACATCGCGTTCTTGAAATTTGATTTCGTGAACCTTCCTCCGCTACCCTCAAGCTTCTTGCTCACTACTTCGATTCTCCTGCAAACTCTAATCTCTCTCGATTCCGACTGTCGCGCACTCAATTCTCTCCCTGCCGCCGGGTGAGTCTCTGCGCGGTGGTGTCTGGAATGTCTCTCGGCTAGAAGGTAGACGCGCGCAGCTCGCACAAGAAATTGAAATCGCAAATTCAAGAATGGAGTGTCTGTTCTCCGCTCGCAGGATGTCATGGTCGGCACTCGGTCGTGAATGTCGACTCACTTGATGGCTGCGCCGGCTCGGAGGTGTAACGGCCCTCCTCTCGCACGCGCGGCTTCACGCTCCGCCGTCGCGCTCTCACTCGCACGCTCGAAATGTCAATTTGAACTACGCCGCGGCCATGGTCGCGCAGCGCCGAAGGCGTCTTTCTCGCCGACGCGCTACTCGCATTCGTACTCCTATTCGCGTTGATCCCGCTCCGCCGAAAGCGTTCCTCCGCACGCTCCGCCGAAGGCGAACTCCTTCCGCCGAAGACGGATTTTCCGGCGGACTTCCCGCCGGCGTCGAACTCCATCCGCCTGTGCGTAGGCGCTGACCGTTCGCACCAAAGATGTCCGTCGGCGTAGGTCCCTCGCCGTAGGCCCAGCGCCGCAGGCGTCTGTGCCGAAGGCGTTGACCGCGGTCAACGGATTCCGTCCCGTCCGTCCATCTCTCTCGCCTCTCCGCAGGCGCTCTTGTCTCCGAAGTCCCGACCCGCCGAGGGCGCACCCGTCCGTTCCGCCGTCGCGTTGAGCCGAAGGCGGAATGTACGGATTCGCTACTCCGTTAGTACTTTTCTAATCTTGATGCGCTGGCGCCGTAGGCGTCGTACGAGCTCCACCTCCGAAGGCGAACTTCTAGGGCCGAAGGCGGATATTCCGCCAATGGCGAAGTGCCTATGCGTAGGTGAAATTCCTTCCGCCTGTGTGTAGGCAAAATTCTCGGCGGACTTCTCGCCGACAACAAACTCCTTCCGCCTATGTGTAGGCGCTCGTCTTCGCACCTTCCGACAATCACAACTCCCTGAGTCCTCATCCGTTCCAAGCGTTCTTGGGCTCGTTAGAACGAGCGCGTCGAGCTCTTTCCAACACAACCCAGAGCAAGTCGAGGCGTTTGTGAATTGCATAAATTCTGAGGGATCCCTCTAGCGCCGAAGGCAGGTTATGCGCCTTGCGCTAAAGAAGAAATCCTTCGGAATCGATCGTTCAGGTCGGCGCCTGTTCTGGACATTGCGCCCAACTTCTGGATTCTACGAGATCCTGCGAGATCCGCAATTATCCATTTTCATTATATTTAAATGTACCGATCACCATTTACACGGCTACTGCGAAACTGTTTTCCAAAATTGTTTTAAATTCCGCAAAAAAGCAAAAAGTGGGTTACCACAAACACTCCTTGATAGAAAATTCTCTGTTGCTCCAGGATCAATTAAAACTCTCACCTTGTGTCCTTCCATGAAACCATCAGTGACAATGAGTTGAGCTTGCTTCTTACCCCTTCCATGAGCTCCCAACCATTGCCTTCTTCCAACCTCGCCTTTTCTTCGCTTTGTAGAACAAGTAAGGCCGCGAGGCAAGATTACTGGTGATCTTTGTTTCCCGAAACTGCTTCCTCCACCTCTTCATACTCTATCCCTTCCATATTGTTGAACGGGCGTCGCTGCATGGGCCGTCCTCCTTGTTGTGTCGGCCGAACTCGACAAAACTTGGCTATGTGATCCATTCGTCCACATGCATAGCATTGGCGATTGTCACGAACTCCAGCTCCTCCTCGAACCATTCCATTATTTGCATAACCTTCTTGCAAATTTGGAACTCCTCGTCGTCTAATCTCACCTCCAAATCTTGGTGGTGGTCCTCTTGTTGGTGCAAAACCTTCTCTACGTCGAAGGTTTCCCAACTCCACCGGTGTTGGACCAGATGGATCTTGAAAATTGCTCAATGGTTCACCATGTGTGACACCAAAAGCACCCGAAATTCGTTGAGCAATTGCGATTGCTTCATTCACAGTAGATGGATTGCTTACCATCACCTCCTTTCGAATTCAATCCTTCAAGCCTCGTTTGAACACGTCCAAGGTTTCAGCTCCACTCATATCCATGATAGATACTTGAAGATCACGAAATTCTTCAATGTACTCATGAATACCTCCTTTCTGCTTCAAATCCCACAACTTCATTCTTGCAGTTTGAAGAGAATCCACTGCTTGAAAATTTTGCAGAAGTCCTTCCTGCATTCCACTCCACGAAATGGTAGCACCTCGTTCTGAAAGCATTTTCTCCCATGTTGTGTATCATGTGAGAGCCTTATCCGTAAGATAAGATCTCATGAACATTTCTGCAATATAATCAGAAACATGAAAATGGGATAAATGAATATTCATCCTCATAATCCATCCCTCTAACACTCCCATTGCTCTACTCCCTTTGTAAGCTTTCACCTTAAAGTATCTACATCTAAAATATCTACATCAATATTTAGAGTAACCTCTACTTTAGATCTAACTAACTAAAGATGGTTACAAAGCCTATCTCTCTGGTCCAAAGGCCTAAGTTCTTCCTCTGAAGGCACATGTGCCTTCGGCGCAGGAACGTCATTCGACCTCCCAAGAACTTCTGTACCTCCATCCTCTTACTCTGATGAAGGAGATCCCCTCGCAATTGCAGCTCGTCCTGTATCAGCGCTACTGCCCGCGGTCAGAATCAACTTGCGAGCCTTCTGCTTGGGTCGGGTTTGCTCGTTGGTTACCCGACGCCTCACTGGAACGGCGAGCGATTCTCGTCGTCTCACTTCTTCCACTTCACAAAATTTCCGCTATCTTGGTGCCCGCGCACCTCGTTGCTCTTCCTCTGCTCTCGGTCGACCCGGCGGTGTGATTGCGGGCACTTTGTCGGGGTCTGTATCAACCTTGACATCCTTCACAAACTTTCCCGGATTCATCCGAGACAACAAGGAAAATTGTTTCTTTTCCTCCGTTGTCAGACATCCCATCGACCGATAGAAATTGATCAAGAACGGGAAAAGTTGATTAACCGATCCACCCATCTCCTCACCCACATGCTGCCGCGTGGCCTTCCACAAAATACGAGCTTAGTGAATTGGCGTACTTGCCAGCGCCAGCTCCACAAATCCCACTTGCCAAGATGTCATATATGAAGTCCTGTGGGGCTGTAGAATCTGAAAAATTGCCATCGCGACATTCCACCGTTTGCGATCAATGTAGTCACGGATCTTATACCCGTTCTTGCGCGAGCGGCGATTCTTGAAAAGGGCGTCGAAGGTCAACTCCTCCTCCTTCGAGAGCTGAACACTCTCGCTGTCAAACAAGAGATCACCCTCAGACCCCGCGCATCATCCCAAGACTTGCTCCTTGTCGCTAACTTGCCATCTCTCCAGGTGCGGTCGATATTCTCTCGAATTCTGCCCCTGTCAGACAAAAAAAGGCCAAAAACCGATGCTTTCAAAAATAAACTGATTTACCTAAAATAGTTTTTTTTCCTGCGGTACAAAAACTAATTGAACCAATTCCAACTTGTACGGAAAAACAGCCTCCATTAAAAGTACACCTAAAAGTTTATTAGGTACCGTACGAAGTATTTGAAAAACTGGAAAAAAATACCATTCTGGTAAAATTTCTAAAGGAGTTGCAAAAGGATTAGCAGGTTCACCAATCATTGAAGGTTCTAAAACAGCTAAACCAACAGTACACGCAATAGTGCCTAAAATAACTACTGGAAAAATATATAAAAGATCGTTCGGCCAAGCAGGCTCACCATAATAATTATGTCCCATACCTTTTGCTAATTTAGCTCGTAATATAGGATCACTTAAATCAGGTTTTTTTGTTATTAAGATAGATTAAAAAAATCCCCCCAAAGAATCGGGCATGATAATTTAATATCATCCGGCTCCAACATTAATGAAATTTTTTAATAAAAAAAACTTTATGTTCATAATTCAAGTTTCATTTTTGATTTTTTTGAATTGTCTTTATTTTTTTATATAAAAATTTACCTTATTAATAATTTTGTTTTTTTTTTCATTAGATCTTTTTTTTACCCCGATAATAAAAAAAACACAACAGAAATGAATGTATTTTTAATACTATATTTTTTATATATTTGAAATATTCCAAAGAATTTTTTGGATTTAACGAAGTCTTTAGTATTCAAAAATAATCATAGAAAAAAAATTTTAAATGAAAAAACATTATAACCCAAGATTTTACTAAAAAAATAATTGGGATAAAAATATATAATCTTATTAAATTTTATGTAACAGATATTAAGTCATTTCTGTATAACTAAAATTATTATTAAATAAAGTCACACACTCCCATAATCCATTTTCCTTTTTAAAATATCTATTCAAAAAATTTTTTTTAGCATTTCTCTAAAAAAAACTTTCAAATAGAAAAAAATCCGTAAAATATGGCAATTAAATTTATATTTAAACTTTTTTATTTTGTAATAAATTTACGTTATTTATAACGGACCTGAAATACCTTGTTTACGAATCATTAAAAAGTGCATTAACATAAATATTGCAGTTAAAAGAGGCAATACAAAAGTATGTAAACTGTAAAATCGAGTTAACGTTGATTGACCAACACTTACACTTCCGCGTAATAACTCAACTAAAGGAGATCCAATTATTGGAATTGCTTCTGGTACACCGGTTACAATTTTAACTGCCCAATAACCAATTTGATCCCACGGTAAAGAATAACCTGTAACACCAAAAGATACAGTTAAAACTGCTAAAATAACACTAGTAACGCAAGTTAATTCCCGAGGTTTTTTAAAACCTCCTGTCAAATAAACACGAAAAATATGCAAAATCATCATTAAAACCATCATACTTGCTGACCAGCGATGAACTGAGCCAATAAGCCATCCAAAATTAACTTCAGTCATAATGTATTGAACAGATGAAAAAGCTTCAGTTACAGTAGGACGATAATAAAAAGTCATAGCAAAACCAGTAGCTACTTGAACTAAAAAGCAAGTTAAAGTAATAGGGTTTGACGTAGGCGCAATGTCCGCCGCGAATGTCGCCTACGCGTAGGCGAGGAAACCTCTGCCCAGGCGGACGAGCGAAGTTCGCCTACGCACAGGCGCTTCGGCGTCGGCGGAAAATGCGCCTTCGGCCCTAGAAATGCGCCTTCGGGGTTAGAAAGTGTACGGCACCTTCCGCGCCAGCGCAGCAGCGCGGATGGGCGAGGAACCACCGGAGTAGTAAAATCCGTACAGACTGTACGGACGGAACGGATGGATGCGCCTTCGGTCAGACGGAGTTACGGCGGCATGAGCGCCGACGGAGAGGCAAGAAATGGACAGACTGGACGGAGCCTGTTGACCGCGGTCAACGCCTTCGGCGCCAGCGCAGACAGAATTTGCCTACGCGTAGGCGAGCGCCTACGTACTGGCAGATTAAGTTCCGCGCTGGCGGAAATTCCGCTTGGGATTCCGCCTACGCAGAAGGGAGTTCAACTTTTGTCCGATGCGCGGACGACCGCCTTCGGCGGAGGGGGATTGGCCGAGGAGTGGTACGAACGAGTGTAGCGCGCAAGGCGAGAAATCCGCCTTCGGCGCTGCGCACCCATGTCCGCGGCGTAGTACGCTAGCGGAGTTCAAATTTGCCAATTCCAGCGTGTGAGTTAAATCGGCGTCGGCGGAGCGTGAAGCTGCGCGTGAGAGTGGAGACCGTTTTAGCGCAGAGCCGGCGCGGCCATCAAGTGATTCGACCCTCACGACCAAGAGCCGACCATGACCTTCGACCAGGAGACGGAGGGCGCCCCATTCTTGAATTCGCGATTTCAATTTCTAGTGCGAGCTGCGCGCGTCCACCTGCTAGCTGTTAAACATTCCAGACATCGCCGCGCGGAGGATTACTTGTTGATTGAGAGAGAATTGAGTGCGCGCAATTTGGAATTGAGTGAGATTAGAGTTTGCAGAGGGAGCAAGGAGCTCGAGCGGAGCAGAGAGAGAACTAGCGAGCAAGCTTATTTCAAGAACGCAATGTCGAAGCTGAACAGATTGCGGATGCTGCCGCTCCGGCTTCCACAGAACGGGTTGCGTGCCTACGAGGAACGGCTGATTGCAAGAAAGCTCGTTTTCTTGCTGTGGGGATGGAATTACATTTGTGTGGACATGGTGCGCGAATGGCTGGAACCACAGCGACCACCTACGCGCGGATTGCGTCCGCATGTCGATCGGTGGACCGTCCAAGATTGGGCGCAGGCATTGGGGAGGTGTGCCGGCATCGATGGGTACCTTCTCTTTGATAGTGAGAGCGTCAAGGTGTCGAAGCAAGACGAGGCGCAATTTGTGGAATTGTTCAAGCGGGAGAGGTCTACCAAGAATGGGTACAAGACCCACGATTACAAAGATCGCTTCCGCCGAACTTTAGCGGCGGCGCTGCTGCAATTGCTGCAGCCACACCGCACCTCCTACATCACCTTGTGGCAGGTTTCTTTTGTGAAGCTCATCTTGGAGGGAGCTCCAGTTCACTGGGCGAGCATCCTGCACAGAGTGATGCGACAGCACACATTCGAGGAGAAGGGGGGAACTCTCAATCACCTCTCTCCTTTCTTGATCAAATTCTATCGGCAGAGGAATTGTTTGACCGCGGCGGAGCTCGCTCGCTTTCCGCCATTGTCCGTCGACCATCCCAGGAAGTATGTGCGGGATAACGAGGTTGACACCGATGCAGAGGATTCACCAGCTTCTACTCCGCCGACACGGAGGGACGAGGGAAGAAGCACACCCGCAGCAAGAGTGCCGCGGAAGCGTCGATGGAGAGAGGAGTCAGAGGAGGAGCAGCATCGAGAACCCACTGCTCCCATACGACAGCGGCCACTGCACGAAGTGTGCAGCCGGCCGAAGCAGAAGGCGCGCAGGCTTGTGTTACCAGCCAGCAGCGCGGACACGGCGACGATCGCCACGGAGAAGGGAAGTGTGTCGCCGGAGAGGATCGAGAGAGCGCGGACGTCCGCAGGAGCGGCGGACCACGCTACACCTCCGACGGACGAGAGGCGGCCTTCGGGCCAAGGGCAGTCCGTCGCGCAGGAGGCGAAGCACAGGTTCTGCGGAGTGTAGTGTAGCGTGGTTCCGTGCCGGCGCATAGTGTAGTGCAATGTAGTGCTAGTTAGGACTTAGAAGGTATAAAGTAGTTCAAGGCGTCTTGCCTTGGGATCTTTCCCAACATCAGAAGTGCAGATCAGGAACTCATTTTCTCTGCGTGTTTGTGTCCTTAGTTCTGTCACCACGCAAGAGGAGCTACAACTTGGCGTTCCGCATTTTGTAGCTGAAGGTCTTCGGCCGAATGTTCAGAGCTAGTACATTGGTTAGAGACTTGAGTAGTTCGGATCTACACCTGCGGGTGATTGCCGATGCTCAGAGCCAGTGACTAGTTAGATACTTGAATAGTTTCGCCCCTACACCTTCGAGTGTTTGTTCCTGATTGTACTCCTTCGGGATTTTTCCCCTGAATGCCAAAGTGAAGTTTTGCTACTTCGTGTAAGCCTTGGTTGTAAATTCAGGTTACGCTGCAGCAGGTGCCTTTGGGGTAACCCCTGTAGTATTTTTGGGAATGACAAGTGCCTAAGAATTCAAACTCTTCAATAGACTGTTATGGTGTGTTACTGGAATGTTTCTCAGTGAGTCCTTCTGTGCGGACTTGTGTTCTCTGCGCGTTTTGTGAGTTGAGAGTGTTGTTCACCGCGTATGAGTGACTTCGATCCGAAGTAGGCAGTCCAAACCGGGTTTCCTACGCTAGCAGCAAGCTAGTGGAAGTGTTGTAAAAGCCGGAGTTGGGAGTCACTACCCGCAGCTTCGCTGAGTGTACTCTTGAGAGACCTTCCCCCTGAAATCTTGAGTAGAGGTCCTAACGGATCTCTGGGTTGTGTTTCTGTAATTTCTGGTGTGTGTGTGTGTGTGTGTGTATGTTACGCTGCACTGTGCGACCTCCGAGTGCGCTCCGAGTGGACACTTGCAGTATTTTTGGGAGTGACAGTCGCCTGAGAATTCAAACTCCTCAATAGTCTGTTAAACGTGACACTTTGTACCCTGTGTGTTCCTTTGTCCCTATGGGTTCGACCTTTCTACCACTATATTGCAGTTTTAGCCTTTAGTGGGTTATTACACGGATTGCAGTCTGCGGATTAATTTCTCATCCGCCTGTCGTGCAAGCTGACACTACTCTAACAACCGTGTCTGTCGCACGAGCTCCTCTGACAAAATTCGATTCTGAGCCTGCTCAGAATCCAGCGCCTCTGTGAGCTTCGCCTTCTCCTTGGCGAACTCTTCCAGCTTCTCGTCCTTCGTCTTGTCGAAGGCTTTGTACAACTTCCTATTGAGGTTGTACTGACCCCACAGGCACGCATGCCTCTCCCGCAAATCCTTAAGTTCCTGGTCCACACGGGCCAACAACTTGCTGGTGTGGACTTTAGTGCGAGTTCGCCTACGCACTAACTCGACGTAGGACCCAGGCTGGCGAGGGTCCGCGTACTTCTCTACCTTGCGATCCAAGTACCTCAATAGAGGTACTACCTACTCACAGAGCGCCGCCGTCGGCGCGCCTACCATTTCCTGCTCCTCCTCCTCAGTGGATCCCGATCCCGACACTGATTCCGTGGATCCTCCTTCTTCGTCATCCTCCGAACTGAGGATTTCGGTCGCCATTGAATTCGTCGGCGATTGGCTTGTGCGGGGCTGTGAGATGTCTGCGTGCTCTGCCGCCACTGGCGCTCCTGCAGCCTCACTGCTCCCTGCTAAAATGTCCAAGGCGGTGGGTGAATGCGGCCGTGCCGAATTCACATCGTCCGCCTGTCCCGCCGCGACTGTAACCTTCTCGCCGCCGGCGTCTACCGCCGAAGGCGATCGTGCGGAATGTACCCGCGCGGAGTGTAATTGTGCATCGCGCGCACGAATTTCACCCTGCGGACAGTCAATCCGCTCCTCCGTTAGGTCCCGCTCCACCATTAGGTCCTGCGCCAGGGATGCGTCCGGCCTACGCGTAGGCGCAATTCCCGGCGCTTCTTCCGCCGAGGGCGCAGTGCCGAAGGCGTCTACCGCCAAAGGCGGTTGAGCTGAAGGCGGCCCGCCCGATGTCCCTTGACCCGAAGGCCCTTCCGCCGAAGGCGGAAGGGCCTTTCCGGCGGATTTCCCGCCGAAGGCGCGGCTCCCGCCGGCTCCCTATTCGTAACTCGCTGGCCCGAAGGCGCATATCCCGGCCGTCTCACCGCCGAAGGGCCTTGCCCAGAAGGCCCTTGAACCGAAGGCGGTTCTTCCGCCGGCTCCTTCCCTTTTCTGCGTTGCACCGGGGGTGAGTCCTGCCTATGCGTAGGCGAACTTTCTCCGCCTATGCGTAGGCGAAAGTCTTCGCCCGCAAGGGGTCGCCTATGCGTAGGCGGCACACTCATCCGTGCCGCACGTTGTTGCTCCTGACCCGAAGGTCGTCTCACCTCCGCCGAAGGCGTAGGGTGGTCCGCTGACCCCTCGGTCGTCCGCACAGTCCCATCCTTCTCCGGGGATGGACTTGCCTTCTTTGTGGCGATCGTCGCCGTTTCCGCGCTGCTGGCAGGTAACATTAGCCTGCGCGCCTTCTGCTTCGGCCGGCTGCAGATCTCGTGCAGTGGCCGCTTCCGGGTGAGAGCAGCTGATTCTTGTTGTTGCTCCTTCTCCGGTTCCTCTCTCCATCTCCGCTTCCTCGGCACTCGTGCTGCTATCCTCCCCGCATCTTGTTGTCCCGGTGGAGTGGAAGTCGGAGAGTCCTCCGCGTCGGTGTCGACTTCGTTATCCCGCACATACCTCCCAGGATGGTCGACTGACAATGGCGGAAATCGAACACGCTCGGCCGCGGTTAAGCAATTCATCGACCGATAAAAGTTTATCAAGAAGGGGGAGAGGTGATTGAGCGTTCCTCCCCGCTCCTCAAATGCATGCTGTCGCATTATCCGCATTATCCGAAGGTGGATCTTCCGCCGGCTCCTTCTCTTTCCTGCGCTGCACCGGAG